TATCCATTTGAGATGTACAATATAGATGGATGTATCCATTTGAGAGGTGAATTACTAACATCCCATTCTAATCATTACATATTTTATTTCAACTCATACTTACATATTGGCTTGGTACAATTACAAACACTTGTAGAAAATTAAAAAGAATGTGCGCAATAATGCAAAGGTCGAGGGATCAATTTGCAATGCATATTTGGTGGAAGAAGCTTCCACCTTCTGCTCACACTACTTCGAACCACATGTTTACACCAAGCATCGAAGAGTGCCACATAATGATGACGGAGGAGATCGATCGAATAGAATCTGAGTTAGAAGGGAATCTAACAATTTTCACCTATCCTGGGCATACGATTGGTAAATAAATAAAAAAAAAGACGATTGACTCAAACCTATATTTTGTTGAATTGCGAAGAGATTACACCATTTGTATAGTAAGTATAAATCTTATAGAGAGTCTAAACTTAATACAGGTTAGTTAATTCATATTTATGATAATTTTGTTCGTTCATAAACAGGAAATATATCAAGCTGTTACAGCTACAAAATTCCAATTTGACTGATACTGCAGTTGATGCAAAACTAGACTCTGAATTTGCAGAATGGTTCAAATGTTATGTAAGTAACTTTCTAGTTACTGGTTCAAAAATGTTATGTAAGTAACTTTCTAGTTACACAACAATATATGTGTAACATTCTTAGATTTCACTCGTGTCATTAACTATTTCCCATAGGGCTCGAAGCCTCAGAAAGCGATATTGATAACAGATTCATCTACTGATCTAGCAAGGGGAACTTCTACCGTTTGCTAAATGCCGTACTTCTAGCTACTTTGTAAATGGTTACAAGTTTCAACACTGAGGGTTATGTTGACAAGCAAAAAGACAATTAACAATGGTGTTTGCATAAAGGGAATCAACACTAACAGTGGAATGAGTCCAAAATGATTTTTATGGATTTTAATTGGTTAAGTTTTTGGATTTAGAATATCCATCCCTTACAATCAAGTACACAATCTTATTCAAATGTGAAATGGTTTGATCCACAACTCAAAACGTTGGCATGAAAAGGTTCACCTAAGTATAATCTTGTAGATATTAATCATAGAAGAAGTTATATACGAAGTACGAACCTTTTTAATGTTGGCCGATGCAAGCTGGCACAAGTGTACTATGTTCCGATATCATCGTTGAAAACGAGATTCATTTAGCAATTAGATGGCAAGTAATGTAAATCAAGCCTAAGAGTAGTTTTGTTTCATGCAGTTGAAAAAAGCAATTGCTTTACCTTGGCAATATTTGAGCCGCTTTACTTGCAATATTTGAGCCATTTCAAGAAGTTGCGGTTGATACGCAACTGATGCAAGTTGTTGAAGATTTAACGGATAGACTGGATGATGAAAGCAGAATTGATGTTGAAATGGAGAATCGGATGATGAAGCGGAGGAAGATCAAATCATCATGGGTACCTCAGAAGATAAAGATCGAGAAGAAGAAGAAGAAGATGATGATGCAGACAGAAATACTTAATGCATTGTGTGTTATGGATACTAAATTAATAGATGTATATATAATATTATTAATGAAGAATTTTAATGTTGTTGGCTTTCTTTATACATATTTACCATATATTCTACAATTCATATAATTGTATACATACATATGTAGGTTCTGTAATCTTTAGTATAGATGGCTAGAGGCAGGGCGGTTGATTCAGACGCGTCCTGCTGTGGTCCGCATGGAGGTCATGGCGGAGGACGCAGTACACGTGGATGAGGAGGGATTATCCCTCCTCCTTCTTCTTCAGGTACGTCTAGCACTTCATCTTCTGCTAAGCCTCCCGTGTCGCCAGCACTTCCTTCTATTCCTTCCTCTTCTACCCCATTTCCTGGACCAATAGAGTCTTCACAAGCTTCATAGTCACCTGCTGCACCAGGTAATCATAAATGTCATTTACTGTCATGTCAATTATATATTAATTATTTCTCCGTATTGATAGCATTTGTCACTTCTTTTGCAGCTTCATCAGAGCCACGTAACAAGCTCAATTTTGTAGCGGGACAGTATGTACTTATTTATTTTTTCCTTTAAACTTGGTTTTGTTCAGATTTTGATGCTTTCGTATATTTATATTTCACTAGGGTCTTTTTTTCTCAGCATATATCCATCCTCTCGAGCAGCAAGACAAATTATGAGGATAATCAAGCTACATCTGGATAAAGATGGATACACATGGGATGTCGTACCACAAGAGGCGAGAGACTTTTATTGGGAGGCGAGAGAACTTTTATTGGAAAGTTTTAGGTAGCGATTTGGTTCAAAGTTATATCTTCATTCAATGTAATTAATAATCTGAATCTATGGGCCTTCTCACTTACTCTTTATGGAAATTTTATTTTTTATTTTTGCAGAAGCATTTCGTATGGGAAGAGGCTATTACGGCTATGCTAAAAGTGGCCTGGGAGAAATTGTGCGCTCCACGGTATGCTGACTTCACTTATAGGATGCGAAAAAACGGTAAGAAGCAGCAGTGCATATCTCAGGAGATATGGGAGAGCTGGCAGAAGGCTTGGGAGGATCCTGCATTCAAGAGAAAGTGTGAGATATTTATACAAAACAGGCATAGTGAGACAGGTGGTGACGGAGCAGGACCTTCTCGACACACAAGCGAATCAATATCAGCTATAGAGACATCTCAATTATCAGTGAGTCAATCAGTTACAGTTACAAAACTGATGTTTAATGAAATGACACCATATAAAACTGATGTTTAATGAAATGACACCATATTAATATATCATGCATAAAAATTCATTACAGGCTGAAAAATATGGTCGTGAGCCCACACCGATAGAGATATTCACTTACACTCACATAAAGGACCACGATGGAAATACGTTTGTCGACAGACATGTGTTGGGCGTCAATGTAAGTAACAATGAAGAATATTTATAGTTACTTTCTAGTCTTATCTTACGTGTACAAGTTCAATATAATAAGGCTTGCAACTACATTGATTAACCAATTTGTTATTTTTAGGAGAACTACAGTACAGCTTGCGATCTTGTTGTTTCTTCTCAGGCTGGATCTGAAGCTGAGTTAAAAATTGATGAGTTAGCACTTTATCTGGAGGTCGTAGGGGGCGAAAAGAAAAGGAAAGTATATGGCATCGGGTTTCAGGCATCACAATTTTACTGTGGCTCAGCATCTGATGCTTCTGCAGGCTCCTCACAACCATAGCCCGACGACAGTGCCGAGGAGATTAGTGCATTACGGGCTCATGTTGATGAGCAGGAGTTACGGGCTCATGTTGATGAGCAGGAGAGACAGCTTGTAGAGCTTAGAGCGCATGTCATGCGGATGTCTGGTCAGCATGGTGCTGGTACTTCTTCCTCTTATCCTCCGCCTGCTATTGTATCCTAAAAGACTGAAATAAAAATCCTATTACTGCATTTCATAGAGCCCCTTTTTGGACTAACAAACAATGACGAAGCGGTTTTAAGGTTCAATTTTATATAGTAATATATGCTTAAATTTTTGAGCATTTCAAATCTAATGTAATAATTTTGACTCTTTTCATTTCTATATTTAATTGTGTCATACCTATTATAAGAGGTGAGCAAAATGACTGATCAAACCAAATTGAAAAGTTTTAGTTTACTCATTAAAATACTAGTTTTTTTTATTTATTTCGATTGAAAGCAAAGTTTCTTTTAGTTTGGCTCGATTTTACAAAAATAACCGGTTAGCGAACTAAGTGGGTTTCATTCAGTTCAAATTGATTTTGACCTTAATTTCAACTCAATTTGATTTTGCTCCTAAAATTCAGTTTGGCTTTCTGTGTCTCAATTCAATTTGATTTTGAATCAAATTAGATCAGACTATTTGCATCAGATCAGACTATTTGCATCACCCCTATCTATTGTGGTGCATGAAGCTAAAGATCAGTTAAGTAATATATGTTAAAATTTTTCAATAATAATAAAGAAAAAGTTTAATGAGAAACTATAAAACATTTCTTATTATAATTAACAGGGTGTTAAAAGAAAAAAAAAAAAAAAAGTTAAAAGGAAAAAAATAAAAAAAAAGTGTGAACAAAAAAAAAAAAAAAAAAAAGTGTGAACGGAAGAAGATTGAAATGGAAGGGGTTACTTTTCTATGCTTCCTTGAGAAAATGGCATGCAAAAGTCAAATTCAAAGGCCCCGCGTTGTACGTCCTCTCACAGCGGCGTTTTTATAGATCCAACCAAATGTATAAATAACTAAAAACAAAAAATAATTAAAATAAGCCATTGGATTCAAGTCGGTCATGCAAGTGGCAGTGATTGGATTCAAGCTGTTTAGGCATGGATTCCCATGCTCTCTATTATTTTCCTTCCCTAATTTTTTTAGTAAATTATAGGTTAGCTCTATTTTTTAATATATTTATCTCAAAGTTATATTTAAATTAACTAAAACTTTTATTTTTGAAAGTTAATTATATACTTACCTTTCAAAAACAAAATTAATTATCCAATTAGTTGATTCTTCCTTCGTTATATTAATTTTTCTGAGTGCAAAAAAACACCTTAAAAAAAAAATTTAAAGTATGGCCTCCAATTTCGTACATTGGAAAAAAAAAAATCAGAAATCTATACACCATTTAACTCTGTAAGATGAGATAATAGAAATTCATTCTCTCTTAATCAGAAGTTTTAAATTCGAGTTTTAGATATGGAATCCCTTTAAATGCTTGGGAGAGAGCACTTTACCCATTTATGGATTTGTCCGGCCCAGGAGATTTCGGATACAGGAGGATTAAAATAAAAAAAATTCACTATTTATGAAAAGCAATTTACGTTTTTTTTTTTTTTTTCTTTTCTCTCTTCCAAATATTTTATTGTTTCCCTCCACGTGCACTCACTGTCCTTATGTGTCAATTTCACTCTATCACAAATAATTTCCACCTACCATGCAACTGACTAACATCCATTATATAAATAGATAGATTCCGATCCTACATTGGTAAGTTTCAATTGTGAAGAAATGAAACTGTAGAAAGAAAGAAGAATAAGGCGGAGAAGATGGATAAGTATGAGTTAGTGAAGGATTTGGGAGCTGGAAATTTCGGAGTAGCAAGGCTTTTGAGGCACAAAGAAACTAAACAGCTTGTTGCTATGAAATACATCGAACGAGGTCAAAAGGTTTGTTGGTTGCCATTTCAAATCCTTTTTTTTTTTTTTTTTTTTTTTTTTGCCATTTCAATCCTTTTTTTTTTTTTTTTTTTTTTTTTTTTTGGTTTTTTTTTTTTTTTTTTTTTTTTGGTGCGCTTTTTATACATATTTTGTTTTATATTTTTTGTGTTATTATGATACAGATAGATGAGAATGTGGCAAGAGAGATTATTAATCACAGATCACTTAGGCATCCTAATATAATCCGCTTTAAGGAGGCAAGTAGATATTGTTTATTTGTACAAGATTATATGATTATTGATTAAATTTTAATTAATTAACTAATTATAGGTGGTTTTGACTCCCACACACTTGGCCATTGTGATGGAGTATGCTGCTGGTGGAGAACTATTTGACAGAATCTGTACTGCTGGTAGATTCAGTGAAGATGAGGTTACTCTCTAATTGAACTCTCTCAATCTTTTTTTTTTTTCGGACAATAGAGCATAAAAGTTTTGTTTTGTCCCTTTTTTTTATATTTTTTAATAACACTTAATTATTTGTCATTTTATATTTTTGTTTAATTTTTCAGGCCAGGTATTTCTTCCAGCAGCTGATTTCTGGTGTGGATTATTGCCACTTCATGGTATAAATCAAATAATATCAAAGCTTATAATTTTTTATCACAAGAAATTACTGAACTTATGCCTGTTTTGCTTTTCTTTTTGGTTGTCTTGTTTAACAGCAAATCTGCCATAGAGATTTGAAACTGGAAAATACACTGCTAGATGGAAGTCCAGCACCTCGATTAAAAATTTGTGATTTTGGTTATTCTAAGGTTTGAAAGGAATTCATCAGATCTCATTGCATTAACTGTTATAAACTCAATTTTACACAACAATGAGCTTCAACTTCAACTTGTCAACCGTTGGATTTAAAACTCTATTGCAATAATACTTATTCCTAAAGTATAATTTTTGGATTTACTTACTTAGACGGTACCTATATATATTATTTTAGAAATAATATATTAATCCCTGCACGTGCCCACATGTGGGGGTTTATAGTTAAATCATTATTGAAAGTTCGGTTTCCAATTGATTGATATGTGGAAGAGCAGTCGTCGTTGCTGCACTCAAGGCCAAAATCAACCGTAGGAACTCCAGCTTACATAGCACCAGAAGTTCTCTCTCGCCGAGAATATGATGGCAAGGTGTGTTTTCCTTTCTTTTTAACGCTTCATCTGCCATTTTGTTTTGGGATGCTTTCCAATTTCAGATGCCTCTCAAAATTACATTTTTCGCGTAATTTAATTCTTAAAAAAATTAAGTTAATTGATAATTGTAGAGTATAGTAACACTACATTTTTATTTCTAAGTTATGATAGGTTGATAATAATGAATATAACACTTACATTTTTATTTCTAAGTTATATGATAGGTTGATTAATAATGAATAATATATATATATATATATATATTATATAATAATATAAATTAATAATAGAAATTAATATTTAGGTTTTTTATATGGGTAATTAAAGGGTAATTAGATCACCTAAATTAATTATAAAATATTTTTTTTTTTATTATAACTAAATTGGGAATCTAATATAGGATAATTCTTTCCTAACATTAATTATATGTCACTAAAATAAGAGAAAAAGAAATTTGTGATTAGAGACAATGAAATAATGTTTGTAACACAGTAGTACACTGCGCCTTTAATAAGAAGAGAAATCAATTAATATAGAAAATATATTTATGGTTTTTATATGGGTATTAAAGGGTAATTAGATCACCTAAATTATTATAAAATATTTTTTTATTATAACTAATTGATCTAATATAGATAATTCTTTCTACATTAATTATATGTCACTAAAATTAAGAGAAAAAGAAATGTGATTAGAGACAATGAAATAATGTTTGTACACAGTAGTACACTGCCTTTAATAGAGAGAATCATAGAATTTGAAATTTTAATTAATATTTTTTAATCTTCTCAAACAATAATTAATTTTAAATAAAATTTCTGTAAAACGGCAAATAAAAGTGAACGAATGGAATAATATTGTATATATTGTAATAAATATATAAATTCATATTTAAATGTTATACCTAAAACTTAATAACTCCCTTAATTTTTACGTTGGTTCATCAATTTTTTAACTTATTAAATTCTTTTTATAAAATTAAATACTTTAACTTATTAAAATATATTAATAAATATTTATAAAATAATTAAAAATGTAAAAATTGTTATTAATATAATAATTTATTTAAAAAATATGTAAATTATTTCCTCATTTGATGTGATATGGGTAGTTAATTTTTAATATATAAATTTATGTTATGTGCTAATTTATAAGTGTAATTGTTTAATAAATAAAATTTTGTAAATTAAAGAATAATAAATTAACTTCAAAATTAAAGGTTTCATTAAACTTTTTATAAAATTTTAAATTGTTTTAGTAATTGTTAATTGTTCTATTAGCTTTTAATTTAAATTAAAAGTGCTGGGTAAAAATAGTTGTTTAACTTAAAGTGACAAAATATGACATTAATTGTTTAATTATCTAAATTTAAAAGAAATAAATAATGAAAATGATTGTCAAAAAAATTAATTAAAAGTTAATTGCTAAATGGTAAAAGCTAATTAACATTTCATAAGGAGCTCCTTCGATATCTAAAAGTTACGGTAAAAAAAAATATAATTAACAGAAATAAAATTTTAAATTGGTCAAAACAATAAAAGTTAGTTTAGAAATTGTTAAAAAGACGACGTAAGTGCTAATTAATTCTCCTAAATTATAATAAAATTAAGGATAATTTGATTAAATTACTTTTTACTTTAAAATCAAAAGTTACTATTGTATATAATATAAATCAGAATAACATTAGAAAATATTATTTATTATTCCTTTAAAAATTCAAAACAATTTATACTTTAAATAAAATAGTCACCGAAAACTATTTATATTTTAGTACACCAGAGAGAAGTATCCCGATGAATACAAACAAAAACAAAAGTTGCGTCATGTGTGGTTCTAGCTAATACGAGTGTGTGAACCCATTTCGTTTGGGGAGCTTTTGTTATTTCCTAGATTTTGGCAACTTCAACGCACATGCAAGTTTAATTCATAATTTTTTTAAAAAAAAAGTTAAGAACTTTTTTTTTTTAAATAATAACAATATGCACATTTTTGTTATTTAAATGTTCATCTAAAGTAATAACTTAAGGTTTTTGCATGATAATATATGTCCATAAATGGATGATTTTATACCAAGATTAATTAAGTAATGTTTATAAATATATATTATTTAAAGTTTTTGTGCAAATGTATACCAATACCACTAAAACACCCATCATGGTCATGGAACTTACTGTTGTAACTACTAATATTTTCATTATGACAACAAATTTTAAATATTTATTTTTTTCTTTTTGATTTGAAAATTATAGGAATGAAAAGATTAATTAACTTTTTTTATTAAGTGATTATGTAGTTCAGTTGCAATATCCTCATCACCTTTTGTTTTCCTTGATTATAGTTGGCAGATGTATGGTCATGTGGAGTTACACTTTACGTGATGTTGGTGGGAGCATACCCTTTTGAAGATCAAAATGACCCTAGGAATTTTAGGAAAACAATTCAGGTATGTGTATATATATATATATATATATATATCCCATTTTTCTTTCCTTAGTTGAAATATTATATCTTCCATCTTTTATATTTCAACCAAAAGAAAAAGTCTCCAAAAAAATTTTATTTTTTCCCTTATGCAGAGGATAATGGCTGTGCAGTACAAAATCCCAGACTATGTTCATGTGTCTCAAGAATGCAGACACCTTCTTTCACGAATATTTGTTGCAAATCCTTCCAGGGTAAAGCTTCATTTTGAAATTACAAGATTTTTTTTTTTTTTTTTGAAAAATATTTTTTAAGATTTAGTTATCATCAAAGCTTTAAATTTCTGATCTCATTCATTATGAGAGAGACATTTAAATTGAGTTAAGATCTAGAACATAGATTTAGAACATCAATATTAGTTAATTTACCATAAACAATTTGCATACCTCGTTTGAAATCTAAATTAGAGTTCATTAATTATGGTTTTCTGCAATAAAACTGGTTAAAAAATAGAATTAAAGACACGTAAAGAACTTAGTCTATTTATAGAAAATCAAATAGAGTTTTCATCGAAATCCCTAATAGAATGAGGCATATATATACCTTCAACTGCCTGACCATATGGGTCCATTAGAGAGGTGGATAGACTCATTAAACCAAGTGATCACATAAATATAAATTAGGTTAAATTGAATTTATTGTCTATTTTAGCAAAATAATTAATAAAAGTATTTCACATTAAAATTTTATTACAATGCAGTCGATAATTCAACTATAAAAAGTTATAACATCTTGACTTGTCGTATCCTCTAATAAGTTTCCATTTTTGTAATTTATGAACACAATAGATTAATTCATCAATGAATAATAAAATTGCATTTATTTTGGTGCAGAGAATTACAATTAAAGAGATCAAAAGCCATCCATGGTTCTTAAAGAATTTTCCGAAGGAGCTGACAGAGTCGAGCCAAGCTGTTTATTACCGGAAAGGCAACCCGAGCTTTTCTGGCCAAAGTGAGGAGGAGATTATGAAAATTGTGGCTGAGGCAAGAACTCGACCGCCATCTTCCGTGCCTATTAAGGGCTTCGGTTGGGGAGCAAATGATGAAGAGAATGAAGAAGAATTAGATGAAGAAGAAGTAGAAGAAGAAGATGAATATGACAAGAGGGTCAAAGAGGTTCAAGCAAGTGGGGAGTTCCAAATCAGTCAAGTGGTGTAGACAATAAAGACTGTTCATTAGTTAAACTGTTAGTTATGTGTATTAGAATAGGCAATAAAACCTGCTTATTATGCTTACAAATAAGTAGGTTTTAAAATTTGAATGGTGTGTATGTTTCCGTAAGAAAACCTAATGCAGATTAAATAAATTGAATTTTTTTAACATTTTTTTCAAATAAAATTAATAGTTTTTAATTGATGAACCGAATTTTACAATTCGATTCAATTCTATTCTCAATTTAAAATGTAGGGATTGCGATTTTCAATTTGGCGACTGTCTCTAATCAATTTAACTGTTTTCAACATGGTTTTAATGTTTCTTTTTCAATTGATTTAAAATTGGAATTGAAATTGAAATCAGGAGCTAGGTTTCTATTTAATTATGATTTCGATTTTCTTAAAACTAGAAGTAACATTGATTTTTGTTTTCATACTCAATCAGATTGGATATCCATTGGGTCGGGTAAAATTATTATGTCTACAGAGAATCCAACAAGCGATGATGCGTGAGCAATGGGACCAACTATGTCAATTTAACAGACGCCACAATTGTTATTAAAAAATTATTTTAATCTATTAATTATTAAAATTAAAAGAATTAGCAATTGTCAAAATTCAAGACTTTCTTTTGATAATTAAAACAAAATTTTAATAAATTTGCATTAACTGGTTTCCTAAATTATTTATCTTTTATAATTCAATATTTATGTTTAGTAAAAGAGAAAAGTAATTAATTAATTTATATAGCATGTAAATGAAAACCTAAAAATGATGTGATAAAATTTATTATCATAAATCATACAAAAATACCGGAAAATTTGGAGTGAATTTATCCATTTGCAGTGCAAAGATAATACGGTTGGAACTACTAAAGATACCAAACATGGGCATGAATGCCTAACCTTACAGAACAAGTATCATTTAGAGAACATTATACAAGTAATGTGTCAAAACCAGAGAATATTATTCAAATTAACAAAATAATTCTATAAAATATGATTTTCCTCATTTCGTACAGATTTTTTATCCAGACTGTACCTAAATAATATTACCCCAAATCCAATCTGCCAGGATTATGGACAATAATGCCTAAATATCCAGTATGCTCGTAGAGATGCCTCTGCAGTCTGTATTAGTGCATGAGGTTGACATTTCAGCAACAAAATTTACATTTGGTGTGTTTTATATATATACAGGCTATTTGTCAACGAAACAGTGGCAATATTCCCCATTGGTGCAAAAATCCCTCCCCAGTAGTGACTTCAAGAACCAGTAGAACAAGAACTGCCAGCATTGCAGCTCTTCCATTCCATGTTTCTGCACTTCTTGTCCAACCCCATTCCCACACAACCACAGGTGGTGGTAATTCCCTGCGCTTCGAATCATATGCGGCCAACAACTCCTCCACACTACCAAGCGGAACTAAAGACTGCATAGATTCGGAAACCACTAATCAGATATGCAGAGAAAAAAAAGCATTTCTAACATGATTTCGTCAAGATTAACGAGAGCAGGGAAAAAACACTATTATTTATAAGTTGGCCGAAGTGTACACTTCAGATGTATCAGAATAATAGTTTCAATCAGAAACAAACAGCTCCTAATCCACACTCCAACTAGAATGAGAAACCTCCTCCAATAATTTAGAAAACCCGTATCATGCAATTAGATTTCTTTCTATAACCAACTTCAGAAAAGCACATTAACTATTGCTCTGAGTATCATCAATGACTTCTGTTCTCTCCGTATTGAAAGCATAGGATATTCCCCTCCTACTATCTACAGTGACTTACCACTTGAAAAAGTAAAGTTGAGAGTATAGTAACAAACAGGCAGCCCGGAGAACAAAGAAGCAGAAAATTAGAGGAAAGAAGTACAGTAAGCACATTTCAAGTTCAGTATCAAACTACTTTTCTACATAGATAGTAGGGTGCTCTCTGTATAGGCACCACGCCAAACAAAAGCATGGAAATAAACAAAAAAGGGATGCATAAAATCCCTCTCTCTACTGATATGATGTCTGTATAGTTGGGTTTTCTATTCCTTTGCATAACTAGATGAGAATTAAGCTTCTTAATTATCTTCTTGCCCTTAACTACGTTGTCATACCTAGACCAGCCTGGTCCATCAGATGAGAAATGCAGGAATCACCAAGCAGGCTATATAGTCAAAGTGAAACCTATTGACTAAAGTCAAGACAATCAAGATTAGACTGGCTTGGACACATTTTATGCATTTCACCCAATTCCAGTTGAACCTTGATTTAATCCCAATAAAACTCTAATCCTTGACCCTCAAATGCTTTCTCAGCTGGTTTTGAAAACATTGGTCCCTCAATGTTCATGAATGAGTTGTAAATGCTCATTATTAAATTCTTTAACCGAAAGTTTTGATTAGTCTTTTCCAATAGTTGAATTCGAGCTTCAAATACACTTCATGAATTATATTAAAAGAACATATTTACAACTATGGATGCTCATATTTCAGTACCATTAAGGCTGAACAGAATTAGACTAGGCCCAAAAGTTACATGCAACCAAGAACAAGGAAAATAATAATTGAATAAAGAAGCACCTAGTACTAGTGTCACACCAGATTATTTGGCCAATAACAGTAGTAGAACACCATAAGAGTGGTCATGTATCTTTTTGCTTGATTTTACATAAGACTAAATATCTGCAATATGAGGAAAAAAATGTGCCATGCAGTACCTATTCAAGTCAAATAGTTGTGCAAGCAGTAATAACATAATAATAACTCAGGCAATGCTTGGGAAGAGAATTACCACCTATCCCATTCATAATTCCACAACTAGAAAATAGGCTAGATAAGGATTCTCAGGAAAATATCAGTGAAATTAATACATTTTCTTATTTTGTTAACTGAACTGCAAAATTGTATGAAGAATCTCTTGTTCATTTTTATCCCAATGAAATACATGTATGTCTGCACCCATACTCACATACAAGAGAGAGAGAGAGAGAGAGAGAGAGATGCATGATGAACAACAGACACATGTAGGTACAGCAAAATTTAACATGCATGAACATGCACACATCCATATGCCCTCACATAAAAAGCTTGTGTGTGCCTAGGCAGCAGGCACAAATAACATATTCTATAATGTCCCATGAGCATCAGAACTACATGGTGGTAACCCAAAAACAGCAAAATACTCATTTCAGTTGTAAAAATGCTATGAAAGCTAGCATGATTACCTGTCGAGCTTCAAGATTTGAAACTGCCATAGCCCCAACATATGGAAGAGACTCGATCACAGCATCTGCCAAATCTGAAATGAAGGTCGGCTCACATCCTAGTGCAGGGACACGTCCCCATTTTTCTATGCCAGACTTAAGAGCCAACTCTTTATACTCAACATCAATTTCTTCAAGAGTTTCAATATGCTCGCTAACAAAGCTGTGAATCAGACATCAAAGTTTAAGAAACTTGCTTCAGTTTCTATATGCTAAACCAACACATTGAGTTATCAATGAACTGACTTAAATAGAGGCATACAGTTATTTTCAATTAGAAAAAAAAAAAAAAAAAAAAAAAAAAAAAAAAAAAAAAAAAAAAAAAAAAAAAAAAAAAAAAAAAAAAAAAAAAAAAAAAAAAAAAAAAAAAAAAAAAAAAAAAAGAAGAGAACAAATCATCACATAAACATATGATCATTGACAAAATTAAATACCTAATTGGGACAGCAAGAAGATTCTTCACCCCTTTTCTGCCAAGATCAATAATTGTCTCATCAGTATAGGGCTTTAACCATTCCACAGGTCCAACTCTACTCTGTAAAAGTATTCAGATTGTATCAAGTGACTAATTACAGAAGTAACAGGAAAGACCCATGAGAAGAGAGAGGAAGGAGGAAAATATAGTGAAAAGCTTAGTGTCCATATGTTACCATTGTTGGGGAGGAAGGAGGAAAATACAGTGAAAAGCTTAGTGTCCACATGCTACCATCATTGGTAACTATATCACCATAATCTAACCAATTAAAGAAAAGCAAAAAAGGTCTCATTTTTTCAGAATTCGTCCTCAAAATTCAAAAATCAACTCAGCAAGATTTCAGATGCCATCATATGATGCCTCAGCCACATTACTTTTTTTTTTTATCATAGTGAATATCAAGGCTCATGAACTTCAAATTTATATTTTCAACCTGAACTACGATTCAGTTATGAAAACTCCATTCAAAACTCCTCCCCGAGTATGTCTTGTATCCCTTTCTCTATAATCTCTCAGTCTACATGATGTTTCCAGCACTTGGATATGGCAAGCATAGTTGCTCATATCCAAATAAAACATGTTCCTGGCACAATATAGACTGTTGAATATCCTGTTTTAGAAATTCAGCTTGTCCAACACTGCAAAAACAATTTTATATTTATATTTCCACACAAAGCCAGTTTCATAACTGAGCACTCCTCATATCAAGCCATGGTGGAATTGCTACAGAAGAAATGCTGTATGGTCTTACACTTCATGGTTAAATAAATCTTAAATGTATATATATGTGTGTACATGTGTGTCTGTGTTTTTTCTCTTAAGTTTCTGTTAATTAATGAAAGGTACTGCAATTTCCAAGATTTTATAAAGAATAGTTCGGTAATTTTAAGAGTGCATTGAACCCTCAATAAAAGAATAAACCTTAAATGTCTGCTTGATATAATTTGTTAATCATGATAACCCAATGTTAATCATGTCACTTATCTTGATATAATTTGTGTGACCTTTGTAACTTTAATTGCTTCGAGCAACTAACCATTAATTTGACTTTTGGATAAGCTGGGTATTTGGGCATATTAAGCTTGATGCTTATGCTTTGAGCAACTTATTTGGTAACCATTAATTTGACTTTTAGATAAGCTGGGTATTTGGGCATATTAAAAGCTGGGTATTTGGGCATATTAAGCTTGATGCTTATGCTTTGAGCAACTTATTTGGTAACCATTAATTTGACTTTTAGATAAGCTGGGTATTTGGGCATATTAAGCTTGATGCTTATGCTTTGAGCAACTTATTTGGTAACCATTAATTTGACTTTTAGATAAGCTGGGTATTTGGGCATATTAAGCTTGAAGCACTAAGCTTGGCTTGAGTTTATTAAAATTTAATTGAGCTGAATTCCAGCTCACCAAAAATATTACGAGCCAAGCTTCAGCTTTTCCAAGTTGGGCCCAATTCAGCTGTATTTGCAACCTTAGGTATCTCATCATGAGCACAACCTGACAAATACCCTACTTCTATGGAGAAGCCTTATTGAGAAAAATATGAGAGATATCTAAAACCTTGTTTGGAAAAATAGCAGATGGGGAAGAATAAATAAGGGAAGAAAAAGGAGAGCAACTTTTGCGTAAAAGAAATATTAATACTTAATTTACAATTATATCTTACATGGATTAAGAAAAAATGAAAAGGAAAGATAGGCCAAAGATTGATGTATGGGTAATTTGACAATTGAAGCACTAAAACAATGCCCATTACCATGCTTTTCACACCCATTCAGGGGTTTGCCCAAAGTGGGACTTGGTGAAAATTTTCAGCCACTTTTTCCTTTACCCTGTTTCCCAAACTAGGGGTGTGCAAACTACTGACTGAACCGAACCGACTCATTTCGGTTCGGTTCAGTCAGCTATTCAAGAGAGATTTGGCTTGTCAGTCTATCCAAACAAGGATGAAAACCTTGCCCCTTTATCTACCCTAACTCTCATCCACTCCCTCACAAAGGGTAATATTCTTTAGTCCTAACCATTATAGCCTCATCAGTGGTTTGTATGCTATAAATGCTAATCATGTTAGTCTATTGGTCAATAAATATTGAGAAAATATTAGTCAATAGATATTTGTATGCTATAAATATTGAGAAAATATTAGTTAATAAATTAAATGTGAAAATCTGTGAATAAGATTATTGGGGCTTTACTACCTGATAGGCAAGAGTGAATGAATTAGTGATCTTTCTCTTCTCTAATTCTTCCATTATCAGATCCACACATTCCTCCATCTCTGCTTTGTAAGGATCACCAGCCTCTTCGACATATGCAAGTGGCACTCCATGAGCACTGAAAAATATCACAACCTACAGCAGAGATTCTCCATTATACACTGCCAGAAATAGCACGAAACAAAGCAATTTCAAAGCTTAAATCCTAAGCTTAAGAAAGAAAATATATTAAAGCACCAAGAAACAATTGAATAGGCATGATCAAAAAGAGCAAGGTGCCTTTAGGGTACTAAGACAAGTAATGCCTTAGGTGCTTCCTAAGTAAGACAAGGGACTATTTTTGACATCTAACCTAGAAGTAATTGAAGCATCAATCACTAAGCATAACAGTTCATCAATATTTTCATTCAAAAAGCAGAATCCAAGTTATCACATATGCATCATGATTAGAATACTGTTTTACTAACTTTTCTCGAGTGATATAACATTCTCTTGCTGTTCATTTCTACTAATCCACCTCCATTTCATCCTTTTCTGCTAGTATTTCGTGCTAAGAAAAGATAAGAAAAGGTATAGATCCTGCTCCTTTTCTTTTTACAATTGATATCTCATGCATAGGAACAACTGCCTCTCAAGCCCGTGTGAGCGAAGTTTTTAAACAGTAAAATAGAACATATAGGCATCAAGAGAACAAGGAGATCGCACTTGAATAAGTGCTAAACTAGGCAACCCAGATGAAGTTACATCACCTTAACTTAGATTAGATGCTTGGTATCAACCCAATCACATGCATGAGCACCTAAGCAGGCAGCCAGTTTACCTTTGACAGAACTGAGATCACACATGTATGTGCATATGTTATATACAGTATATTGTTCAATTATCAGTGACATTTAACTTATTCTGTCCAATGAGAAAACTTAGTCCTTCATACCTTTTATCCTGCAAATTCACCTTAGTTTAAATTACCAGCTAAAAGTTAAATTCAATTCATTTTATGAATACATTAAGTTAAAAATTATTACCATCTAAACAGTTTTAAAGACTACCAAACCGATTTGAGTAATATATAGTAAATTTGTTACATAGAGTCCAATAATCTAATGAGTATCTAGACCACGCCCATTTCCAAATCTTCACAAGTTTCTCCCACTAATTTGCATTTTATCATGTTCGACATTCATATACAAGTCTCAGTATCCTTATCTGACATAAATACTTCAGTAAACTAAAGAGACTACGCAACCATAAGCATTTGCGTTTACTAAGCAGAGGAGTTAGGTAATGTGCAACAGTTGTTAGAACGATTATAATGCCTATAATGCAAGGACTAGTGCAAATTTTCAGCGATAAAAGAAATAAAACAGTAGAGAACAAACAAGAATAGGACTAGAAGCAAAGCATACAGCTCCTACAGGAAATCAACCTAGGTAGGGCAGCAAGGTAAAATGTAGGCTCTCAACAAGCTCTGAGGCCCAAGATTATCATCTTCTTGTGGTGCTTTAATAAGCTACTTATTCACTCAACTCTTTTCTGTTTCCTTTGACAAGGGATATAAGAAGAAAGAGCCAATGATGCAAGGGAAAAAAAGAAAAGAAACCTATCCTAGTCCATTTTCAACTTCAGAAGTAATATGAGAACACCCCATGAGCATTGTCTTCGGTAGTTTTTCTTCAATAAGCCACTTATTCACTTTTGCTTTTCTCGTCTTTTCATTTACTTACACAACGCATAATTACGAGTGAAGTGGAGGAAAAGAGATCATTTCTTATCTTGTTTAGCATCTTATTTTCTCAAGAAGGGGAAGGGAAAGGGGAAGGAAGTTTAATCATTCCGCTTCAAGGAGTTGAAATTTATTACACTGAAATTCAGGGTTTAAACAAAAATATTTTCATTTGTATCACTATAATCCTATTCCCTTCCTTCCCCCCTCATCCAAACAAAATAAAATTAGTTCTTATTCTTTGCTTTATGATTATTATTTTTTAATTATACAAAAATTTTAAATATTTCCCATCCCTTCCTCTCCTCTCCTCTCCCTTTCCTTCCTTTTAAAAATCTAACCTTCCCTTCCCTCACTTCCTTTCCCTTTGCTTTCTTGTTATTCAAATAAAAAGAAAGGGACAGCAGCCCAACATGGAACTTTTTCTCAGCTCTGAGGAAGAGAAAAAGAAAGCAATAAAGGATCTACAGAAGCAGATTTAATAAACAAGATGATATGAATGCACTCAAAGAGGCAGTACCTTCTCAGGACAGTCAAATTTTTCTAATTCCTTTTCAATTAGATCTGCCATGGCTTTTATGTATCCTTCACGCTGGTACCAGGATGGTATCACAGTGTGCTGCATGTTGACAAGATATTCATCTTCCCTGGTGAACCGTCAGAAAATGTTAAATTCCAAGAATTTTCAAAACCTCATATACTTTAATATTGCATGCGCTTTATTCCCACCGAAATATACTCTCCAAGAGACGAAGGCTAGAACCACTAGTTGATATTGAGAACTGTGGATAAAGAGGAAGAACAACAAGCTTTCTGATTCCATCTCTTTTTATCTAACAACCAAACAGAAACTCAGTAATTAGATTCATAAATCTTCATTCAAACTCCGAGTTAAGGTATTGACAGATGGAGCAATTGAAAGCTTTTTTATTGCTAATGCAACCTAATGCATAACAACACAAATTAATTTTTTACTGATAAAATAACTAATAAAGGAGAAATAACGAAAAGAAGCCACGAAATTCATTCATAACCGTAAATGCAACCTGATGCAAAATTCAATTAAATAACACAAGCATGTGTTATATCCAAAGAAATGCCAAAAATTTGAACATGGAAGAATGCCAGACACAAGCCACTTTTTGTAAGTTGAAAAACTTTTTTCTGCAGAAACAATGGGCTTAGAAAATTGAGTGCAGCACATAAATCAATTTCTAAATCCATTTAAGTTAAAGTAATGGTTCAGAGTTTTCTAACAATTAAACAGCAAGAAAACATGTTGTATGGTGAATTTCAAACCTGTTTCAAGCATCGACGTTAATGTAACAGCAGTTGATTCATGGCAATAAGTTTCAAGGGAAAAATTAATTCATCTTGACAAAGGATGGTAATTATGTAAGCCACTTTTAGTAGAGTAGTAGAGGTCCAAACTAAGTTATGGCAACACTTCAATTCACTCTTATGTATCCTTCTATAACACTTATTAGAAAAGGGAATGGGTATTTGAGATTGCCACCTAGAAAAAGTCATGGGAATTTGAGTATGATACTCCGAGTTACAAGGTAAATCAGACATAATTTGAGCCTACCCATAACAGAAATGTGGCTATGTATCCAACATGAGTACCCAAGTTTGAGTATCATAGAGTAAGTGGCATGAAAAAAAAGTTTATCCATAGTTTCAGAGCAGATGGATAGCACCCAAGATCATTTAAAAGAATTTCTGACATTATTTATCCAATCTGCTGTGGTAGTAAAGCTACACGTAGAGATATGATAGATAATATCATAAGTACCGGCGTGTTATATATTAGAAAGACACTTCATCACTATTATATTTATTCATATATTTGCAATGATAAAGAGAACCTTTGAAATATCACATGCAACATAAGCAACAACAGAATAACAGAACCACAAAATCACCATTTAAATCTCTTCATGAGAGAATTGAGTGTTACCAGTAAATATCAGAATTTAAACTGATGCCAAATGGATACCTGTTCAATGGCTTCTTCAGTAAATGGATGCCAATAACGCATACCAACATACACCTTCGCTGGGACATTCTTTTCCCAAAGGGACTTCCTCAACTCCTCAGCCTGGGTGAAAAAGGAGAAATTTTTAGGGAAACTTTTGTGTATGAATCGGTAAGCCTTCCGACCAGCAAATGCAATATACTTATGTTTATTACATAGGCTCAATACACAATTCACCCAAGTAAGATCTTGTGGCACCCTCAACTTTCATTTTAACCTATTAAATACTTCAACTTATAAAATTTCACATATTAAACGCTTTAATTGACCTAATGAGTACCTCCAACTTATAAAATTAGATCAATTAAGCACTTATCGGATAGTTGAAAATTGTGAACATTATAATTCCAAAAATTGTACTAACCACATATTAAATCAATATTTTACATATAAAAGTTCAAAAAACCTTACTACAAAAAGTGAAGTTCAAGATGCCACAAGGTCGATTTTAAAGTTCAGGGTGCCACAAGGTTTTTCGATTATACCTTAGGGATTAAATTACTATTTGGCCTTGATACGTATGAACATCCAAATAATTGAATAACAATTTAAGCAGAAAAACGAAAACACATGCCTGTGCATCAGTTATCTGCCGCAGAGGCGAACCACCACCAATTGAAGCATAACCTTCTTTGCTCTTGGGTGCCCTTACAGTAGATATGAATTTTGCCAACGGCTTTTGTAGAAACCGAAACAACCTTGGCAGCCTTATAATGTCCTGAGGTATTAGGTGAAAAATAGACAAAATGAAATCTGAAGCTCATGAAAACAGACAAAAGGGTATGCATTTTGTATACGTATATTCTGCTAAAACATGTCTCTAAAGTCCATTTACAAAACCCATGTGCCAAATACGAAATTAAATTACAGAACTGGTTCTAAAAACAAATGCAAAAGCAAGAGCATTTTTACCGGATCAGCGAAAAGGTTGAAGAGGAAAGGCTGCACATCTTCGAGAGTCTCAGGACCTCCAAGATTAAGCAACAAAACTCCAATCTTCTCATCACCAATAAGAGGTGAAGTAGACACATTTTGAGATTTAGAAGTCACTACCGCTCCCAAAGGCAACATACATTTGCTCGGCTGTAGCTTAGACCATCCCAAAGGATTATTACTATTATTATTACATTTTGAGAGATTAGAGAAACAACAAATCCTTTGAGAGGTGCGAACTGCCTGCGGCAACAGCCTATGGAAAGGAAATAACAAACAGAATAAATTTCGAAAGATTTAGATATTACTCTTTCAGAATAAAAAGATCAAAGACATCAGAAACTTACAGGGGAAACTTAGAATTGCGAGAAGCAGAAGGAGTTGGTGTAACGTTAATTGCTCCAATATTCATTTGGGTTTTGATTGTTTGAGACTGTTCTACGGAAAATTTAAGACAGAGACAACCAGCAACTTCTTTTTTCAAATACAAACCTTAAAAAGTTCCCTTTTTCTTCTTCTTTAGTTGCTTTTCTTGTTTCCAATTTGAGAACCAAAAAAAGAATCAGAATGAACTAGCAGATTAACTTAGTTTTGTAATGAAATAGAAATGGAATTCGAGGGAGAAGAAGGTCTTCTCTTCTGCCTTTGTTTTGATGAGAAAGAGAACGCAGTAGCTAGTAGAGTAGAATGTTTCCTCCTCACATTTGGGTAAAATAGTGACTGTGTGGAGCGGAGAGCGACTTATTAGTTATCACAAACTGAGAAAGACAACCATTTATTACTCCCTTTATTCATATCTCCTCTGTGGCAAATATCATTCATTTCTTTCCTCGTTTACTGTCCACCCTTCTTCCAATTTTGTAAGGATAAAAAATATATAAACATAGAAGACAATTGGGCCTGTTTTCCGCTTACCATTTTCGACTGGTTAATAGGAAACGCAGTGGCAACAAGGAGTGGCTTCTAACTTAAGCCATTTAAAAAAAAATTCATTTCTTTTAAGAATTATATTTTGAAATATTAATTATTACTGATATATTCATATTATTTAATGATTAACAATATTATTCTCATAAAAAATAACTTTATAACAATTTAATAAAGGAAAAAAAATGTTCAAATCCATGAGGATTGACCTAATTAACTACTTCCATAATATAATCCTTCCATAAACAATGAGCCTAGTTTTTTGTCAGTCAAACAGATAAAGTGCAGTCAAAAGTTAGAGATAAAAATTAAAAAAAAAATGTCCTCAATGACAAACAATACTAAAATCAAGTTTAATATGATCATCAAAATAAGGCTGCACGTCCGAGGAGTTGGCTCGGGTTGATTGATTTAAAATACTTGTCCCATATATGCAAATCAATGATTTTCGATCCGATCCAACTCAACCCATTAAACGCGTGAATCCATCAGTTATAAATGGTTGGATTGGATACGGATTTAACGTAAATTTATGGGTCAAATAAATAATAATATTATTATTATTATTTTTAAGTAAAATATAACACTTTAAGAGGATTAGTAAAAAAATTAAATATACTTAAAATATTAATAACAATAATTTTCACAAAATACAAGTATATTTCAATGATAATATTAAAAATTAAATTTCTTATTGTATTCATTTTTATAATCATCATAATCATAATCAACAATGAAAAATTAAATTTCTTAAAAAAAAGGCACTAAAATAAAAAATAAAAAAAACTCAGTAACATAATTATATAATATGTTTAATTTAAATTGCAATCTACACTATATACAAAAGTGGGAATAGAGGAAATAATGAGATTTTCGATAGCGCTCTTAATGAAATTAAGGATATCATAAAATAACATTTGTAATACCCAATTAGAAAATTACATTTTATTAGAATATATTCATAAAAATTATTTTTTAAGCCAATCATGTGTTGTCTGATTGCCTTCTCACTTATGCGGAGAGTGAGAGGTCTCGAGTTTGAATCCTCTCGATCACAAGTGTTTTCACCAATTTGGTGAGTAAAGGGTTATTTTTTGTTGTGTAGCATAGCAGTGTTATTTCGTCGCATTAGGCCTCCTAATGAATTAAAAAAATAATTTTTAAATAAGCATATATAGATAATTAAGCATTTAAAAGTTTAAATTTTATCTTTACTAAATTTATTTTTTAATAAATATATATGATAATGAGACTTTTGAAAATAATAGTCTTTTGTATTACGTGTGTTGCACGTTGACTATACTCGTTATATATTCATTTTTTATCTATATAATAGTAAAGCATAAGTTTTATTTAGATTAAAATAAATACATTATTTCGTCGCATTAAGGCCTCCTAATGAAATTTAAAAAAATAATTTTTTAAATAAGCATATGATAGATAATTTAAGCATATTTAAAAGTTTAGAAATTTTATCTGTACTAAAATTTATTTTTTAATAAATATATATGATAATGGACTTTTGGAAAAAAATAGTTTTTGTAATTACGTGTTGTTTGCACGTTGAACTATATCGTTATAATTATTCATTTTTATCTATATAATAGTAAAAGATAAGTTTTATTTAGATTTAAAATAATACAAGAGGTAATTTGTAATTATACTGTTTTGAGTTACAAACTACTTCCAAGGCTACCTTTGGATGTACAAATTCTATTTATATAATATAAATTGTCCTGAGATAAAGTTCAATCCAAATCCCTCAACATAATCTTTTAGTCCTAATTTATAAGCGATATTTTAAAAAATCCAAAGATACTCAAAAGAAAAATTAAGTCATTTAATTTCAATCCTTCAAACTCTTGCCCGTAATGTACGCCCCAAAATTTTTCGAATCTTAAAATAATAATTATTTTTAAATCGGGTCATGAATGGTGCTACAGAAGGGAAAATAATATTTTATTTATATCTGAGGAAGATATTGGAGTAATGAATGAACTATGAATGGGTAGTGATTTACCAATTAATGAATAATACCGGACCGTCTGTGAATAATATACCCGTCCGGAAGTCGGTATTAATTTTGGTCCGGAAAAAAATTACTTTTATGGTTTTATATTTTCTTTAATATTTTTGGAGTATGTTATGCAGGATTTAATGGGAGAAAGGCAAATAAATGAATATTTTTGGAGATTTAAGATAATTATAGTGAATAGTGAAATTAATGAAATGCTTTAATTAATTTAGGAATTTTGTAGGAATAATTTTTTATGGAGTAATTTTGGAGAAATTTGTGGAGATAAATAATATTGTGAAGGAATTGAATTTGGAGATATTTTTAGCCATTAGATGAGCTTTAAATCCTTTAGCCATCCAATTATGGGGAAAAAGAACCAAAATACCGCTTTGAATCATTTATAAGGTCAACTCCAATTATTGAGCCACCAACTTTTTCTCTTCTTTTCCTTTCTTCTCTCAAATTAAAACCCACCCAACTTGATTAAGGTAATTAATCTTAGAGAGTTAAGCTTTGAGAAGTGATTTGTGGTGGATTAAATTCCAAGAAAATTTGGAGATTCTCTACTTAACCAAAGGTTGGAGGAAACCTCTAACGCTGGAGTAAAGGCAAAGTTTAGAGCTAGAAAAGCTTTAATTTAAGCTTGCTAAAAGCTTATTTTTAAAGGTTAAGTGTTCATAAACACACTTACCTACTTAAATTTTTGAATGGTTTGTGGCATTTATGCTATCATTAACATGTATTTTGGGATTTTATTATGAAATGATTGATATTGGTTTGAACTTTGGTTGCAATAACAATGCTCTTGGGTGATGTTTGAATGAGGATGAGTATTTAGTATGTGGTAGAAATCTCTACCTTGTATCTTTGTTGTTCATGTTCTTTTCATGGTGGAAGAAAACTGAATTTGGGAAACAGTGTTATCGGGTGAGATTAAGGACTAGTTTTCGACCATTTCTATTTTTTATTTGTGTCTGAGTCCTTCATGAAAGTTGTATTTATACTTCTTAGCTTTCCAAGCTTTCCAACCCATCCTCTTGTGTCCAATTTGGAGATACATAGCTCAACTTATGGCTGAAATACCTAAACTGACTCTGTTATGTCGGGCCACAAGCATCACTGAATTGAGTGCCCATTTTGACCACTATAATGGCAAGATTTGGCTCTGAGGTCTTCATGAAAGTTGTTTCCCTGTATCTTGAGACTTTCATGGTTCTGGATTGGTTTAATTTGAGTGTTTGGTTAAGTAGGAATTCAATAAACATTGGACTTAGTTCTGCTGAATCGAGTCTGGACTGTTGCTCTGTGTTCCTAGCTTCTGTTTACCACCTTACACATTGATCTGGGCATTGATCTGGGCTGTGGTCCCTTCATAACATTGAATTTTAATCTTAAGCTTTCTAAATGGAATCTAATTTCATTCAAATTTGGAAGACCTATAACTCAATTTATGTCTTAAAAAAATACAGAT